GTGCATTAACCTTGTAACAGCAGTTTAAGAACCATTTCGAAGATGCTTTCACATACACACAACACAAAACTTTTATAAATTAAGCATGCCAGAAAAAAAAGTCAATTTAAGCACATATAAGATGAGCTGGAATTCTAGGAACAAATTAAATTTTGTCCAATGCTGTAAACAAATTGACACACACATACAAAAAAAATTAGAGTGTGCTCTCAGAAAAAACTTTTTAAACCATACTCAAAGGGCTATCTGATGGAATGGTGGATGATGCACCTATTCTCTTGTGAATCTCCCTCTTTGGAAATGAATTTTTGTTACCCATCCCTTAACCTCACTTGTGCCTATTTCCCAGGAAAAGCTCAACCTCCCCTGCCCCCCAGTACTGGAGGTCTCTTGCATTTTACCTAAAGTGCTTTCTTTTTCTCCAAAGTCAGCACTTGCTCTGTGTCTGAGATAAGTCCCAGACCCAGACACACACACACACGCACACGCGCACACGCACACACACACGCGCACACACACACACCCCCTCTAGGATGTCCCAGCTACCAAGGAAATATCCTTATCTTAGTCTGTGCCCAGAGTTATCCTGGCTGCCCCAGTGCTTTCTACAAGGGCTCCTTCCCCACATTGCTGAGTGACTCCCAACCTTGGGTTTGTTGTTGGTCCAGGGATGGCTGGACCATCAACAGAGTACAGATCACCGTACTCTGAGGCAAAGCAACTAGGCAGCAGAACACATCTCTGAGAAGGGGGTCCCTATGACCCCCATGGCAACAAAGTTTGCCCCACATTGGGCACCAGATGGGAGAAATGCCGTTCCCAAACAGTGATCAAAGAAACACACAGGAGTCGCTCAGCAAGGCAAAAAGAACAGTTTTACATCTGCAGAAGGGTGCAGCCACAGACCAGAGTCTAACAGGCAGAACACAGTGGGAAGTCAGCTCAGTTTTTATCTCTCTCTGTCCCTCACCCTGATGGACTGGTTTGGGTTCACAATCTTCACAACTGGCTACTTAGAAAAGGGGGCACATGGAGTAAGGGGGACCTTAAAGCAGGGAGGACAAGAAAATTCTTTTGAGCAATATTCATCTTTAAGCAAGCAGTTGGAGATTAGGACACCTGGTGATGAACAGCTCTTTATTTGACCGAAAGAACCTTGCAAGGTCAAGCAATGTTTCACAAAGCATGTAGGCAGCCATTTGGGGAGGTGAGCTGGCATCTACACAATGATAGTTTTACATGAACTCCTTTGACAGAAAAGACCTAATTTTACTCGTTTCTCACATATTCAAGACTTGTCCATTTCTGAATTGGGTTGTCTTTTTGTTTTTGAGTTGTAGTTCTTTATATATTCTGAATATTAAAGCTTATCAGATATGATTTATAATTATTTTCCCATTCTGGAGGTTGCTTTTTCACTTCCTTAATAACATTGTTTGATACACAGAAGTTTTTAATTTTGATGTTCAATTTATTTTTACTTTTGTTCCTCGTACTTTTGGTGTCATGTTTCAGAATGTATTATAAAATCCAAGGACATGACAATTTATCCCTATTTTTTCTTCTAAGAGCTTTATAGGTTTAGCTCTTGTAGGTGGTTGATCCATTTTAAGTTAATTTTTGTATTTGGTATAAGGTAGACACACCAGTTCATCCTTTTACTTATGGAAATCCAGTTATCCCAGTACCATCTGTTAAAGGGATTATTGTTTCCCCAGTGAATGCAATTGGCATGCTTGCTAAAAATCAATTGGGCTATAGATATATGAGATTACTACTGGACTCTCAATTTTATTCCATCAGTTAATATGTCTATCCTTATCAAAGTACCACAATTTTGATTACTGTAGCCTTGCAGCAAGTTTTGAAATCATGAAGTGAGTCCTGTAAGTTTATTCTTTTTTAATATTCTTTTGGCTATTTGGGACCCCTTGCAATTCCATATGAATTTAAGCCTTGGTTTTTCCAAAAGAGACTGTGAAAATTTTATAGGAATTACACTGTATCTATAGATTGCACTGGGTAGTACTGACATATTAACAATATTAAATATACCTATCAATGAACACAGATGTATTTCCATTTGTTAAAGTCTTAAGTTTTTTTCAGCCATGTTTTGTAGGTTTCAGTGTACATATCTTTCATCTTTTTGGCTTAATTTATTCACAGGTATTTTACCTTTCTATATGCTACCACAAATGCAATGATTTTGATTTGCTTTTCAAATTGTTCATGGTTAGTATATTTAGAAATACAAATGATTTTTGTGTGTTGATCTTTTACTCTGCAACTGTTAAATTTATTCACTCTAGTAGCTTTTTGTGAATACTTTAGCATTTTCTATACACAGGATCATATCATCTGTAAAGAGATAACTTTACTTTCTTCTCTTTTCTTTCCTTTTTTTTTTGGTATCACTGGGATTTGAACTCAGGGCCTATACCTTGAGCCACTCCACCAGCCCTTTTTGTGATGGCTTTTTTTTTTTTACCCCAAGATAGAGTCTTGCAAGCTATTTGCCCAGGCTGGCTTCAAACCATGATCCTCTTGTAGCTAGGATTACAGGCGTGAGCTGCGAGCACTCAGCTCCTTTACATTTTCTTTTCTAGTATCTTTATTTTTGTTTTGGTGGTACTGTAGTTTGAATGCAGGGTCTGATGGATTGCTAGGCAGACACTCTGCCACTTGAGCCATGCTCCCAGCTCTTTTCTTTGGGTATTTTTTTATTTCTTTTTCTTTCCAATTGGTCTGGGTAGAACTTCCAGTAATTGTTCAATAGAAGTGGTGAAAGTTGGCATTGTTGTCTTTATGCTTCTTCTATTCCAATGACTATGGAGCTACCTGTGGGTATTTCATAAGTGCCTTTTACCATATTGAGAAAGTTCTCTTTTCCTAGATTTCTGAGAGTATTTTTTGATGAAAGGGTATTAGATTTTGTCAAATACATTAATTGAGATAACCATGTGGGTTTTTCCCCCATCATTCTATTAATATGATATCTTACATTGATTTTCTTATATTGAATAACCTCTTGCATCACGGGATAAATCCCACTTGGTCACAGTGTATAATCATTTTAATATGCTGGTATATTTGGTTTGCTAGGATAGTGTTGAGGATTTTTTGCTCTAAAGGACATTAGTCTATAGTTTTCTGGTGGTATCTTCATCTGGATTTGGTATCAGGGTAATGCTAGCCTGAAAGAATAAGATAGGATGTATTCTTTCCTCGTCTACCTTTTGGGAGCATTTGAAAAGGATTTGGTGTTAACTATTTTTTTTTCCTTTTTATTTTTCCTTTGCAGTGCTGGGGATCAAATCAAGGGCCTTGTATGTGCTGGGCAAGCATTCTACTGCTAAGTTATATCCCAAGTCCAACTCTTCTTTAAGTGTTTCATAGAGTTCATCAGTAAAGCCCTCTGATCCTGGGCTTTTCTTTGTTGGGGGTTTCTGATTACTGATCAATCTCTTTACTTGAAGTCTGTTGATATTTTTAATTTGTCTTGAATTAGTTTAGGTAATTTTTCCATTTCATTTAGTGTATTTAATTTATTGGTTTGTATTGTCACAGTACTATATTCTTATAATTCTTTTTATTACTGTAAGGTGAGTGGTAATGTCGTTAGTTTCATTTCTGATTTAAGTTGTCTTCTCTTTTTTCCTTTGTCAGTCTAGCTAAAGGTTTGTCAGTTTTCCTGATATTTTCTTTCTGGCAGTACTGGGATGTGAACTCAGGGCCTTGTGTTTGGTAAGTAGGCACTCTACCTTTGAACCACATTCCTAGCCCTGCTAATATTTTCAAAGAACCAACTTGTGATTTTATTCATTCTCCCTATTCTATTCTCTATTTTATTTATCTTCCCTCCTTATTACTTCCTTCCTTCTTTGGGTTAGTTTGCATTTTTGTTGTTGTTGTTTAATTTTTAAACAGTTTAAATTTTAATGACCTTTCAGTTTTTTTTAAAAAGTTAAATTTAAGGTCACATATCTAAATTTGAAGTACTATATATAGACCATGCAGAATATGAGTATGAAGAGATACAAATTAGTCCATGCCCCCAAAAAATTTACTGCTCTTCTTTTTCTAGTTCCTAAAATCCATAAAGTTAGTCTACTGATCTGATATCTTTCTTTTCTGAGGTAGGGTCTCGATATATAGCCCTGGCTAGACTCAAACTTAGGATCCTTCTGCCTCAGCCTCTCCAAGGCTGGAATTACAGGTGTATGCAACCACACCCAGCTCCTCTTGCTTATATAAGCCTCTACACCTACAAATTTTCTTCAAGCACTGCTTTCACTGCATCCCACAAATTAAGATATGCTGAAATTTTCCAATTTCATTTGTGATTTCTTCTTTGACTCAGTTGTTCAAGCATGTGCCATCATCTCGTGTGATGGCACACACCTGCAATCTCAGCATTTGGAATGCTGAGGCAGGAGGATCACAAAAAGTTTGAGGCTAGCCTGAACCACATAGAGTTCAAGGCCAGCCTATGTTACACAGCAAGACATTGTCTCATAAAAAATCAAAAGAGAAAAAAATTCAACAACTATATAAAATTTTTATCCTACTTGACAATACAATTTCCTTTCAAAGCTCTAGACTTAGATAAAAGTATTATTCTATATTATGAATGTCAAATTCTTTATATATAGTAAGTAAAATACAGAGTATTTACTTATACTAGTAAGTAAAATACAGAGTATGCCTTTAAAATGCAAACTAGGCACATTTAATGTGAATGCAATTATTTGGGTCCTAAAATATGTAAAATTAATGTCCACTATGGTATTTTAGATTTTTAATAAATCACCTGTTAAAAATGTGACAAAATATACATAACAAATATGTACACCATATATTCTTCCAGTAAGAAAGTCTAGCTAATCGCTTTCCAACTTCTAAGTAACAGAAAAAAATTTTACGATTCTCTATACACAAATGATATTATCCCATACAAAGAGAATAGCTCTGAAAAAACTGTGTGCAGTAAGCATTACCTCATTTTTTTCCTGCTTAGCCGGTCCTGGGTTCTGTGCTCCATTTGCAGGCTCCTTTTCAGAAATTGAACTTTGGCCCAAAACTTCACTGCTGATATGTCTCTGTGCCTCAACAGGTGTATCACTTCTTCCAGAAAGGTACAAGAAATCAAAAAATCAGGGGTGAAATTGAAGGAAAATATATTTTAGTTAGGGAATTTTAAGTCTAAAAAAATTAACGTTTATCTTATCAAATGCACAAAACAGATTTTTTACTTTCCTTTCTCCCCTTAACTATAAAAAAGGGTTTTTTTTGTTGATGGTGGTGGTACTGGGGTTTGAACTCAGGGCCTCATGCTTGTTAGACAGGTGCTCTACCACTTGAGCCACTCTGCCAGCCCTAAAAAAAGGGTTTTAAAAATAGTATGTTCTTTTAGGGAGTTGTTTTAGGGATTTTGTCTGGTTTTGAGACAGGGTCTCACTAAGATACCTAGGCTGATTTTGAACTCCAAAGATCAAGCGATTGCCCCACTTCAGCCTCCCAAGTAGCTGAACTTGCAGGGCATTCCACTATGTCCAGATAGGATGTACATTTATAGAGAAAGACAGCATAGTTATCAGTATAAAAATTAGTAGTAGCCTGGCATGGTGGTATATACCTATAATCCCAACTACTCAGGAAGTAGAGATCCATAAAGTAATATTTCACTTAATTTTGTAATTTCTATAGAGCTTCTATACACATTATCTCATTTAATTTGCACAATAACCTGTGGAATAGGTTATAACCCCCATTTCTCAGGGAGGAAACAATCTAAAAAACAAGTATTTTTCCTAAAATTGCATAGTAAATAGAGCTAGAACTTAAATCCAGGTCTCTCTGAGACCAGACACATAAGGCAACCAATGCCATAAAAATCATAAGAAATAAAACAATGTTAGAAACGAAGCCAGAGTCAGAAACTAAGAGCCAGAGACTAGGGCTAAAAATCACTAAAGCAGCAAGAAATGGAATCAACTATTCAAGAACGTATTCACCTGCATTCCTTCCATCACTCTCCCTTTCTTTAGATGTTAAATGAGATACAACTCCCTGACATGAGTAAATTGGTCCAAGAATAGAAGGTGCCTGGTTTTAGTAAATCTTTGACCAGGAAGAATACTCAGGAAAAGACCACAAGAAATAACCACTGGTGACACAAGGCCCTCTGATTGTAAACCCACCAGAGACTTTTACTGTCTCCATGCTTGGGCAACAATATCAAGACAGCGTAAGTGGAAAGTGACTAGGTGACCACGAATCTCGGGCTGGGCTTCACAGTTTAGTATTAAATGGTATAAATATCCCTGGGACAAGGATCTCTCATTGAGCCTCTTAGTTCCCATCCTGCACATCAGGGGTGCTTCTTTTTCCCTTTCTATTTCTCCTTGCTTTGTCCTACTTTGCTAAAGGATCTTTGCTGACCTTAGACCTTGAGAATTTCCTTTTGTGACTTCCTTAAAATTCTTTACATCAATGAATTCAAGAGCCTGTGGGTCCCATGGGTAATTGGGGAATTGAGTCAAGGATCCCCTTCTCCTATAGGGAAAAATCCCTCACCCCTTACCCTTTCTCCAGTGACTTTTGAACTCCAAATCCAATGTTATCCTAAACTGGCAGATACTTCAATTTTGAGATTATCACATTAAGTAGCTCAAACTTACACATTTCAACTGATTTTTCTATTTTGTGTTTATTTCTGCTCAAGTGAAAAGATACCCTTACAAAATATCATACAATCCCTTAAAAATCTTTCTTTCATGCTTTATCTTCTTGCTAACCATAGTAGACTAATCATTGCATCCTGGTTTTACCACACACTAAAAGCCGAAGTATTTTTAAAATGCATTCTGGCTTCAAACAAGTATTAACACAAATAGGAGTCTCTTCATGCATCTTTACACAACTGATGTAATTGAGCTTTCCCACATTTTTAAATTACACCTAAAATGTTTTCAGAAACAAGTTAACTTGTTCCAAAGTAAATGTTTGTGCTTTATCCATAGCATTTCATTAGCAGTTCTTTTGACACACTGTTCTCACCAAGCCAAGAGCTATGAAAGGAAGAAATTTACATTTATTGAGCACCAATCGCATGTCTGCCATTCTACTGGATTAATCTCATTTTGCAAGTCAACACCAAATCATATAGAGGAAGTACCTGAGACTCAGGAACACACTAAGTAACATTTCCAAGGTCACACAGCTAAATGAAAAAGCTATTATTCAAGCCCGAGTCTGACTTCAAAGGCTATCTTCTATTCATTATTCTATACTGTTTTGCTTCATAAATTTCCCAATTTCAGAGGCATGACAAGTATTTTCTGAATTATGGCTATTACTCAGCTGATTAATACATATATTACTTATTTTCTGACATGTCACATTTTCTCCCTCTGTTCGTTCTGTAATGGTCTAATAACTTATTCTCCACCTCTTGCTATCTTTATCTAGGCATTACTCAATACCTACTACTTTATTAGGAAATAGCACTATGCAGTCAGATTTAGCTGGACTGTTGGGCATCCTTTCTTTCTATAAAGACAGTGGGCACAGTGGTATATACCTGTACTCCCAACTACTTAGAAGGATGAAGCAAGAGGATAACATGAGCCCAGGAACTTGAGACCAGCCTGAGCAACATAGTGAGACTCCATCTCAAAAAAGACAATTCTGCTGGGCATGGAGGCTCACACCTGTAATTCCAGATATTCCAAGAAGATTAGCTGGATCTGATTCCAGATCAGGAGGATTACAGTTCAAGGACAATTGAGGCAAAAAGTTAGCAAAAGCCCATCTCATCCAATACATTGGATGTGGTGGTGTGTGCCTGTGGTCCCAGCTATGCTGGCCAGGACAAAAATCCAAGCTCCTATTTGAAAAACAACTAAAGCAAAAAGGCCTGGGGCTATGGCTCAAGTGGTAGAGTCCCTGCCTACCAAGCATGAGGACTGGGTTCAAAACCCCAGTACCATGCTGGGGGCATGTATCAAGTGGGAGAGCCCCTTTCCTAGCAAGTACAAGGCCCTGAGTTCAAACTGTAGTACTGTCAAAACCTCAGCACTGCCAGTAAAACAGAAACAAAAATCCCACAATCCTACTGATGTACAAATTCAAACATGTTTTTCATATACTGCTAAGAAGCTTCTGTCATCTAATGTACTGGGAAGAATACCAGCAATTTCTGCAGAATTGAAGCCCAGCACCCCAGAAAATAAGAATTTTCTCTAAAGGGCTGGAAAATCCAAGAAAAGTTCAAAATAGTCTCTACCAATGCTTAAGTCCTCCTACTCCTGGGGAATATTTTTAAAAATGTATTTATTTTTGATGGGACTGGGGTCTGAACTTAGGACTTTGCACTTGCAAAGCAGGTGTACTACCACTTATTTTAGAAGGCAGCTAGCTATGCTCATTCCTATACCACCAACACCCCTAAACTGTGGTTATTTTGGAGATGGGGTCTCCCGAACTATTTGCCTGGGCTGGCCTTGAACCACAATCCTCCTGATCTCAGCCTCCCAAGTAGTTAGGATTACAAGCATGAGCCATGGAGCTGGGCTTCCTTTGGGATTTAAACAGGATATTACTACATGAAATTGTACTCATCATTTTTATCGATATCATCTTTATCTTTCAAATATGAAATAAAAGCAGCAAAATAACTTGAGAAGTCCCCCTAACCTTCAGGAATTCCCTCACTTTATAGAGCGTAGTTAGATGCTCCCCTCTAAAGAACATCAAAGCAACCTCACAAGCAACTTAACAGAAAATGCTTCCTTCCCTATGTATTTATCCTGTATTTCTTATGCCTGAAAGATCTCCACTTGCTCTAATTTAATAGAAATTGAGTCCAGTGCCCCTTGCTCTGAAAAAAATGCCTCCAACTATCCTATGTAATATAAAAAGGGTTAGATATGATCTTTCATGAAATAAACCTATTTTAGTCAACACTCATATTTCATAGTACCCACTAGGAAGTACAGGAAACCATCTGTATGTCCCAGTGAGTTTCTAGGAAAAGCAGGGCAAAAACTTGTCTGACCCTTGAAATAAACTACCAATCAGGCCAGGTTTAAAGGAAAAACTGAGTGGTGCCTTTAAGACATCTTTATATGTATGTATATTTTCACTAAACAAAAAACAACAACAAAAAAAAAAAGAAAAATAAGTGAAGGATGAAGGCATGGCTCAAGAGGTAGATCACCTGCCTAGCAAGCATGAAGTCCTAAGTTCCAACCCCAGTACCACCATAAAAGAATGTGGAAATCAGAATTCTATGCATAGTTGTTCCCTACAGTACTATTTACAGGAGACAGAAGTGGAAACAACCTGATGTTTTACAAAAGGGAACTGAATTTATGATGTAGTTATGCAATAGAACATTGCAAGTTTCCCATTAATCATTCATCTTAAGAAATGTTTAGGAATATGGAAAATATTCATGATCTTTCAAGTGAAAAAAATGAACTGAAAACATGCACAGTACATTTCCAATCTAAAAGATGTATTCATAGAAGAAATACTGGTCATCTAAGTTGAGACTGGGTGGGATTTTAATTCACGTTTTTTCTTCATTTTCCAAATTTTATTCGTAACACATCTATTGCCTTTATAACCAGCAGAAATATATAGCATAAAATATTTTCTCTTATAATTATTTATATTTTGAAACACTTCTGAAGTTTTAAGAACTTTAAAAGGGTCTTGAACATTGAGAAACACACACACACACACACACACACACACACACACACACAAGCACACTTTATTATCCGATTATCTCACACCTATGGAGATTTCCTAATTTTTATGAGCAAATGCTCACCGCTCAGGGGATTCTTCGTAAATACTGTGACATTCTGTATTCTCAAGCATGAGACTTCTACTGAGATTTTGTACCCCTGGATAATGGAAGTTGGCAAAGGAATGTGACATTGGAGAAGTTTTGTTTCCAAGGTCTGAGATTCTTTTATCATGACTGGTTAGTCCACAGGTGAGGCCATCTAACGCAGGATTCAGAGAGCGAGTCATATAGGCATCAGCTGATTGAGGTCTTCTCATTGGGGAAGATGGATAGGGAGAAAGTTTGCTGATAAGTGGAGTCAAAAGATCTGCATATGCAGCTTTTGTAGGTTTCAGAAGTTTGTCGACATGAATATTCAGCATTTTCTGTTCAAAAGCACAAGAGAAGACAGAAGAAGGAAGATTCTGAAGCCAGGATAATAAACTCAGATCCAAATCATCACAACCATTACCACATAAAAGGTCGATGCCAAGAAGTACTTCACTTTCTGTGATTTCTTCTCCAGTTGCTTTACTCTGGCAAAATTCTACACAGCATTCATAAAGTAGGCCCTTCATTACAAGCTGAAATAAACGATTGTTACTTGCTTTAAAGCCAGCCTCACTTAGCTTCCTGTCAGCAGGGATGAATTCTGCAACCATGACACAAGCCTCTTCAAAACAGTGAACTCGTGCAGTGCTGGGATTCCAGTCCTTAAATTCTGCATGATTGGTTAGACGAGGCAAAGTCAAGAGCAAACAGAGCTTGCTATAGTCATCTTTAGAAGGACAGTACTCTTCTAGAGCATGTAAACATTGCACAGCTTCTTGCATGGTAAATTCCAACTGTAAAAAAAAATACATAAATGATGACTATAAAAAGAGACAAAATGGAAATGTTCAAAATAAAAAGTGAAATATGAGAGACAGTAAAAAGGATAAAGTCCAATGCCACAGAATACACATGTAATTTGTAGAATATGTAATAACTTTTAATTTGGGGACCAAAATGTTTTCACAAGTAGAAATAATAAATAATTCAGTTAATTAGTACAAAGTTTTATCTGTAATATAATTAATCAAGCTTAAAATTATCATTTTCAAGGTATAATTTTTATTAACTCATTTTTTTGGCAGTATTGGGGTTTAAACTCAGGGCCTCACACTTGCTCTCCCACTTGAGCCATACTGCCAGCCCTTTTGCATTGGTTCTTTTTGAGCTATGGCCTCACTTTATGCCTGGGCCAGCCTGGACTGAGAGCCTCCTATTTGTGCTTTCCCATGTGGCTGAGATGACAGGTAGGTGCCATTGGCTGAGAAGGGGGAGGGAGGTCTCAAGAATATCTTACTCAGACTGGCCTTGAACTGTGATCCTCTCAATCTCTGCTTCCCAAGTAATTAGGATTACAGGCTCGAACCACTGTATCTGACTTATTTTACTTTTTGAGACTGGGTCTTACACTATGTAGCCCAGGCTGGCCTCCAACTCAAGATCCTCCTATCTCAGCCTCGTGCTGGGACTGTAGGCATACAACATGCATGGCTCAAATGGATAATTTTTTCAGGAAGAAAAATTAAGCTGTCTAGAAGTGAATATTTACTTGTTTACAAAAGATATTATTTGGCTTACCCAAAATGAAGGAGACATTTTCTGAGTCCCAACTTGCCTTAGAACAAATTTTGATGGAATCAAGAAAAGGAAATATATGTAATTTATTTACTTCAAAAACAGTACAGAGACAGAACAAAGGGAAGTTTAGTTAAGAGATGAATTATGACAATTTGTGTAGTGAGTATTGTCAGGTACCTTAGAGCTTTATCTAGCTCTACCTCCCTATCTTACATCTGGGAAAAATTAGACTGCAAATTTAATCAAGATAATTCAACTGGTTAGTGACAAAACAGAGTAAAAGTTGCATCTCCTGCTCATTCCAGTGCTTTTTCCACTTCTAAACATAATTATCTGGCCAACATTTCATATTATATATGAAAGTCCCCACTGGTTTTTGCTATGATCTGAATGTTTGTCTACCCCTGCCCCAAATGCATATGCTGTAATCCTAATCCCCAAGATGATGATGGCATTAGGAGGGTGGAGCCTTTGAGAAGTAATTAGGTCATGAGGCTCAGCCCTCATTAATGGGATTATTGCCCTTATAAAAGAGACTTCAGAGAGAGGTGGTAGGCAGCCTCTTCCACAATGTGAGGACACAGGTATAAAGTGCCATGTATGAACCAAAGAGCAAGCCCTTCATGAATCAGCTGGCACCTTCACTTTGGATTTCCCAGCTTCTGGATTGTGAGAAATCAATTTCTATTGTTTATAAACCACTCAGTTGACCACATGTTGTTATAGCAGCACAATGACAGTTAACTTCAATGAACACTTATTGAAACTTAATAAAAATTTAGTTGCAACGGGTGTGGTGGAGGCATGCCTGTAATCCCAGCACTTGAAAGGCAGAGGCAGGATTTCAAGTTCCAGGCCAGCCTGGATTACAGAGTGAGACTTTGTCTCAAAAAAACACTCAAAAAATGAAGGACAGGATTGTAAAACAGTCCTGTGAGGCAGTGGGTACTTGTGGGAGGGAGGAGGGTGAGTGGAGGGGATAAAGCAAGGTGAATGTAGTTGATGGACTTTATATATTTATATGAAATAGAACAGTGAAACCTGTTGTAATTGTTTTAACTGAGGGGTAGAAGGAGAGAGATGGCAGAGGTGAACCTAACTAAGACAATTGTAAGCATATATGAAACTACTACAATGAATTCCTCTGTACATCTAATATATGCTAATAAAATGTTTAAAATAAAAAACCCAATAAAACATTTTCTCTTATTAAAAAAAAAGGCCCCTCCCCTCAGGAAAAAGCTTACCTGGTTTTGGATGTGACGTTACTAATACTGAAACTTTAAAAGTAGCTTTCCAAACAAAGTGAATTTAATATCACTGAATTCAAACAGTCATAAATATAAACATTCCATCAAAATCTACCTCCGGATCAAAGAATATACAAAAAGACAGAGAAAGGAGATAAACATACCCACTTTTAGACTAAAAGAAGCAATGATGAGTCACCAAGTCTCTAACTTACCTTAAACCAGAGAGGAACACACTCAATCACCTAGCTATTCACACATCACCTGGCCTAAATCACAGAACAAGTTTAACAGCACTACAGATAAAACCGTTGAAAACTCATGATAATCTTTTGTTTTAGTGAATAGAATACTTAGAACTGAAAACAAGACTATGGCGCAAACCTTCAGGAATAAAAATCTTACATGCTGGGGCTCATCTTCTGCTGACATTGCATTGTTAACACATAAAGCTTCTAAAAACTTCTGCTTCAGGATAATATAACGAAACCTGTGAAAAATAAAAAATGAACCATTAAAATCATTAAAAAGCTCAATGATGCCAGGCATGATGGTACATGCCTATAAACCTAGCATTTGGGAGGCTGAGATAAGAGGATCATAAGTTTGAGGCCTGCCTGTGCTACTAAGTGAAAACTTGTCTCAAGAGGAAAAAAAATTAAAAAAAAGCAGAACTAAATGATAGCAATATTAAAGACTAGGAAAAAACTCAAGTTTCTGTAACTAAATAGGCATTTGTTTTTTTATTTATTTAGTACTGGACAAGTGCTCTAACACTGAATTATATCACCAGCTTTCCTAACTTTGTTTTAAGGACTAATTATTTTTTTTAGAAGAAACTTATTTTGAAAATTAATTTTCTGGTGCCTAGCACTGGTTGCTCACGGTCATAATCCCAGCTACTCAGAAGGCAGAGATCAGGAGGATCTCGGTTTGAAGCGAGTCCTGGGCAAATAGTTCAGAAAAAACCCTATTTCAAAAAAGCCCATCACAAAAAAAGAGCTGCCAGAGCGGCTAAAGTGGTAAGAGCTCCTGCCTAGCAAGCATGAGGCCCTGAGTTCAAACCACAGTGCTGCAAAAAAAAAAAAAAAATTAATTTTCCAATGACTGGTAAGTTGAATGTACTTACAAGTTACTGTAAATAAAACTTTGCCTTTGGAAAATTCTTAAAATATTCCACTAAGTTCCTTATCACATCAAAGTAATTTTAGTCAAAAGCAATCACAGCCGGCGAGTGGCTCACACCTGTAATCCTAGCCACTCAGGAGGCAGAGATCAGGAGGACTGAGGTTGGAAGCCAGCCCCAGCAAATACTTCATGAGACCCTATCTCAAAAAACCCTTCACAAAAATAGCACTGGTGGAGTGGCTCAAGGTGAAGGCCCTGAATTCAAGCCCCAGTACTGAATTTAAAAAAAAAAAAAAGTGACCACATTTTAGCTAGACAATGTTGGCTCACTCCTAACTACTTGGGAGGCTGAGATTGGGAGGATCGTGATTTGAGGTCAGCCTGGCAAATAGTTTGCTCTGGTTAGAGCAAAATGGACTGGAGGTGTGGCACAAGTGGTAGGGTAGAGTGCCTGGTTTGCAAGTGTAAAACCCTGAGTTCAAACCCCATTCTCACCAAAAAAAAAAAAAAAAAAAGTAACCACATTTTAACACTCCAGTATTTATTCTTCACAAAAATCCAGGTTTTAGCTGAGCATGGTGGTGTACACCTGTGATCCTAGCTACTCAGAAGGCAAAGGCAGGTACCACTATGCCTGGCTTCTTTTTCCCCATTAAACATTAGGAAAGTTTAACTAATAAGGGCAGAGTGGCTCAAGTGGTAGAGCACCTGAGTTCAAATCCCAGTACCACAAATAAATAAATAAATAAATAAATTCTAATAGAAATGAAGCAGAAAAGTTAGGATGAAATAAACATTTCTAAAAATCCTCAAAATAACTACAGACTTAAAATGTTTTAACAGGAATTTTTCAGGTAGGGGAAGAATAATCAAAAGTTTTGATGCCTTTAATGTACTTAAAGCACATTAAAGTGTTTCCTAAGGATTGGAAGAAAAAACCTTCACTCATTCTTTCAGCCATTACTATAGCAGAAAACATCCAATAAAACAAAACCTCTGCCTTCAAGAGGGCTATCTAATAAGTTGTATGAAATAAGTACAGAGTTCAGCAAGATCATGAAGGAGTATAAAACCAATACTACCGGAAGGTATGGAGAGTAAAATCAAAAATGTATAAGAACTGACTCTTAGCCAGGAAGGGTGGTGCACACTTGTAATCCCAGTATTCTAGAGGCTGAGGCAGGAGGATTGAGTTTAAGGCCAGCCTGGGCTATACAGTGAGACACTGTCTCAAAAAAAAAAAAAAATGATTCTGAGATCACTGGCTGTGTCTGCATGCAGGGACAAAAGCCAAACCTGCTGGGTTAGTAGTTGTTGGTTTAAGGTGGAAAGAATACATGAGAGTTAACAAGAGATACATTGTAAGGTCCATCCATCCTGTGGACAGAAGAAAATATGACTTCTCTTTTTTTTCTCTTTTTTTTGGCAGTGGGGATAGAGCCCCCAGGGGCTTCATTCAGGCAGACAAGGACTCTAGCACTGAACTACATGTATGTCCCCAGGCCCACTCATTTTAACCTTAATTTCTTATCTCTTTTCATCCTCTAATACCTTGTTAACTCAACACATGTTCAATTTCTGAGCAGTATCAGCATCACCTGGAGGTTTCTTAGAACTACACAAGTTAGTTTCTACCCTGACCAGCAGAATCAGAGCAAGTGTCATAACAACATCCCAGTGCTGTATGAGGAGCTCTGCTCTAAAAGGCCCAAATGCGAAAGGTTTGGACTGCACAGTGTAAAAACTGCAGATAGTCATTAATGGGGCTATAGCACTGTAAAGAGTTAGGTTTATGTTGTTTAGAGAGATGAAAAGTGTTTCCTGGTCAAATATTTGAAACCCTGTTATTAATAAGATGGTAACCAGTTGCCACATTCTTTAGAAATTAAAGAGCTAGATGCAGTGGCTCATGCCTGTAACCCAGCATTCAGGATGCTAAGGCAGGAGAAGCGCAAGGAGGACAGCCTGGGCTAACATAAAACACTCATCTCAAAATAACACCCAACAACAAAAAAACCTGACTCTTCCAGAGATTATCAGGAGTATGGTGATTAAATGTACAAAAACAAAGAGTTATCAAATAGCATGCTATGAACAGTGCATCAAAATTTAATACGAGATTCAACTTCTGTAATGACAGAGTAACTTGTCTCTGACTAACCTTTCTGGAGATAACAGTGCTAAACTCTAAATACAAGATGCAAAAAATAATTATTTGAACATGTTAAAAACCAACCAACCAAAAACTAGCACTAGCAAGAAGTCAAGTGGTACTGGGATTTGAACTCAGGACTTTACACTTGCTAGGCACTGCCTGAGCTACACCTCCTGCCCTTAGAAGTCAATTACTAAAAACAGAGAACTTCATGGGGTAAAATACAAGGGCATAAGGCTTTCCAACTGAAAACATTCCCTAATCCACAAGTATGAGCTAGAACTCAAGCAGAAAGCTAAAGTTTGCAGGGCTAAAGGGTCAATAAAAAGTTTGGTACTGTCCAAGTAGACAAAAAGCGAGAAGACAATCCAAAAAAAGAGGGACACAAGGCCAGGCACAGTGGCTCATGCCTGTAATCCTAGCTAGAGGAGGATTTCCTAGATCAGGAGGATTTCAGTTTGAAGCCAGGCAGAGCAAATAATTCAGCTAGCAGAGTAGCTCAAGTTGTACAGCACCTGCCTAGCAAGCATGAGGCCCTAAGTTCAAAAACAAAGAGGAAGCCACAGCAAGAAATGCACTAACATCTACTGTATAAACTCAGATGCCCAAATCTTTCCTTATCCCCTTTAGTGTTAAGATGCAAAGGAGACTCCAAGGAACCTAAAGAAAACGATAGCAGGTAAAAACAACCAAGAAAAAAATTTCAGCTGGTGTCCACTAGAGGGCAGACAAAATTTGCATTTTGAGGCTAATCAACTACTTGCTTGAATAAAAATTTACAGTTTGCCTGCCTAGCAAACAGGAGGCTCTTAGTTCAAACCGCAGAACCGCCAAAAAGAAAGAAAGGAATGAAGAAAGTTTGCACTTTTTAAAGAATCCACAGTCTCAAGAATACATCTACAGGGGTATAGTTCAAGGGACAGAACACTTGCCTAGCAAGTTTGAGGCCCTGGGTTCAATCCCTAGTACAAAAAAAAAAAGTCTACAATGAATAGATGTTTGCAGCAGAGGGGAAAATGGGGGGAAGGTTGACCTATATAATAGTTATGAAAAAAGGCAATTGTGTAAAACTGAGTCTGATATGAGTAGAAATTCAAATTACCACACAACAACTACACTAGCAAATAAGCTATTACTATTTATGTTCAAGTACTTAAAGGTAATGTAATTATAATGAACAGATAGAAAAGTTATAAAAGAAAATTTTGAAATGGTGAATACAATATCTGAAATTTTAAAAAATCAATGTTTATCATCAGATTGCTAATAAAAGAGTCAATGAATTTTTCTTTGTTTTTTGGTGATGCTGAGATTTGAACTCAGGGCTGTGTACTTGCCAAGCAGACACTCTACTGCTTGAGCCACACTCCAGTCCATTTTACTTTTATTTTGAAAAATGGGGTCTTTTGCCCAGGCTGACCTTGAGCTTTGATCCTCCCTATCTCAGCCTCCCAAGTAACTAGGATTATAGACATGAGCCATGGGTGGCTAGCCAACAAAGAAAAATAATTCAGACAAAAAAATACAAAGAAAAAAATGGTTTAAAGGGGAGGAGGTTACTGGGAACATGGCTCAAGTGGTAGAGCACCTGCCTACCAAGTGAAAGGCTCTGAGTTCAAACCCCAGGACTGCAAAAATCAAACAAACAACAACAACAAAAAAACAGGGTGGGGGGCAAATAATAACCTAAAAGTGAGGGTGGAGTGCCAGGCATGGATGTTTCATGCCTGTAATCCCAACTATTCAGGAGATGGAGACAGGAGGATCACAATTTGAGGCAAACTTATCAAAACTCTAGCTTGAAAACAAGTTGTAATAGTAGCACACCATTATGGTCCCCACAACTAAGGAGACAAAGGTACAAGACTGTGGTCCAAGGCCAGCCAGGGCAAAGTAAGTATGAGACCCCAACTGAAAAAAAGTGCTAAAAACAAAAGAACTGGGGATGTGGTTCAAATGGAAGAGCTACTGCCTAGCAAGTGAGAGGCTCTGGGCTAATAAAAAGACCCTGTCTTAAAAAATAAAAATAAAAATAAAAAAGGCAGCCATGGGTGTAGCTTAGTGGTAGAACACTTACCTACGGTTCAATCCCCAGCAGCACAAAACAATTAAATAATAAAGCTTAGTCCTGTGTCACAAAAATCAGTTTACCTAACATCGTATCTCTGAAGGAAAAGAAAGGGACAGATGCTAGTCATGGTGACACACACCTATAATCCCAGATACTCGAGGCAGGAGGATGAGAAGCTTGAGGCCAGCCCAGGCAAAGGTAATAATACTGTCTCAAAAACAAATACAATAAAAACAAAAGGGCTAGGCCATAACTCAAGTGGTAAAGTACCTATCATGCTCAAGGCTCTGGGTTCAATCCCCAGTACCACAAAAAAAAGAGAAAGGTAGAGAGAAAATTTGAAGAAGTGATGGCCAAAAACTTGCCAAATATTAAGAATAAAAACTTACAGGTCCACAAAGTTCAGCAAACTCCACGCAGGAAATTAAAAAAAAAAACAAAAAACACATACTCAAGTACATCATCATCCATCTGCTGAAAACCAATGAGAAAAACTTTCCTTCCAAAAGGAATAAAAAAAGAAATACATATTACATATAAGAGAGGATAGGGGTAGTTTTCCAGGAAAAGCTGAGTCTTCTTTTAAATCCTTTGCTTATTTTTTGCTAAGTATTAACAATGACAAGGCAGCAAAACTTCTGATGAACTCTTACCTTTTTTTGTCAAATTTTTCCATACATTCTAGAGGCTGGATGAACTGAAGAACTTCATCCCACTGACCATCAAGGATTAGCTGCCTAAAAAAAGAAAAATCCAGAGTACTATCAAGTTCAGGCTATACTAACAGATGACAGAATACAAGACAAAATAGCATTAAATCGTCACAAAACCCATAATGAGATTAACACTTGGTTACTCAAACATGAAAACAACAGCATGATATATATGAAAAGAATTTATGAATCTCCAACCACTTCTCATGTTAGTATAGATGTGGTTTTGACCTCTATGAAAACTACAGGCCAAGACTAAAACTCCCTCCACTTCCCTATTCATCATCCAGTTTTAAAGCTAGTACCTATTCTAGTCCCTATTATTTAAGAACCAGGGACTGTGCTTTTGTCAAGCGCAGTGGTAGAGTGCCTGACCAGCAGGCACAAGGCCCTGGGTTCAATCACCAACACCGCAAAAAAAAAAAAAGAACCAGTGTAGGGTATATTTTACTCCAATAAATCAATGGTTCTCATTTGCGGGATGATTTTGCACACAAACCTCCCAGGGTAAACTTTTGGTTGTCACAACTGGAGGTACCACTGACATCTACCGGGTAGAGGGAAGGGATGGTGCTAAATATTCTACAGTATACAGGACACCCACACACAACAAATATTTATCTGACCCAAATGTTAATAGTTGCCAATATTGGGCTGGTGGAGTGGGTCAAGCTGTATGAGTACGTACCTAGCAAGAGTTGAGGCCCTGAGTTCAAATCAAGTAACACCAAAAAATAGTTGCCAATATTAAGAAATTCTGCTCTAAATTGTGTATTCTACATCCTTGTGGAACTTGACACTAAAATTTATGTCTTGTGAAAGAAAATAGCAGAGAGGCAGAAGTGGGGGTACGTTCCTATAATCCTAGCAGTTGGGAGGCTAAGATAGAAGGATCATGAGTTTGAGGCTAGACTAGGGTACCTGGAAAGTTCGAGGTCAGCCTAGGATACATACAGAGACCTTGTCTCAAACAAACAAACAAAAAAAAGGTAGGGGGTGGAGGTTCAGCAAGGAATGAGAACAAGTCTATCCTACTTTAAGTGGCTTATAGGAATTTCCAAAAGGTACAGGGCATTCTTATTTTTCTTCTTTTATGATAATCATTACCCTATTTTAGATGTTTTTTGGCAGTGCTGGGATTTGAATTCAGGGCCTTATACTTAACTAGACTGGAGCTCTACAACCTGAGCCATACTCACAGGCCTTTTTGCTTTAGTTTTTTTTGAGATTGGGTTCTCACATTTTTGTCTGGGCTGTTCTGAACTGCCGTCCTTCTTAGTTATGCCTCACACGTAGCTGACATGACAGGCATGGCCCACCATACCCAGCTTTATTGGGGTCTTGCAAACTTTCTGGACAGGCTGGAATCAAACTGCAATCCTTCTGATCACCTCTTGAGTAGCTGGGATTACAGATGTGAGCCACTATGCCCAGCTATTTTTAATTTTTTAATTCAGTACAATTTAAAAACAGAAGGATGGACAGGAATATCTACATAGGACTGCCAACATTTTATTCTGCAAAGAAGTAATGCTAATAACCAACAACAATACAAACCATAATTATTTTATAAAGGGACATTTTAATATTAAAAAGCAAGGAAGACACAATTTCAGAGGCCAGCTTAATGAAAAACTTACTATCATGTAATTCTTTTCATTTCACCTCAAGCCAGTAAAATTTCATTATAAACCTACAGGTTCCTGGTGGGTACTTAAGGTCCAGTGCTGAATTCCAGAATACTGCCTCAATACTAGTTCCTAGCTACATCACTGACTAAGCTCCCTGGGGCTAGGTAACAACACAAAATACAGGGAAGTGCAACAAGTTTTAGTGTCCAGAATAATAAAGCTTTGTGTTTTTTATACTTCTTTTTTTTTTCCTGCGAGTTAGGAACATTTCATTTTGTATAAGAGCATGTATGCACTGCTGGTCAAGAATATTTGCTATCTTATAAAAATAGAATACTTTTCTGCCTGGGAATGTGGGGCTTTCTTTTACCATCCAATTCACTTGGGATATATTTAGCTTTCCATTTTGGCAAACACGTTAATTCCCTTTGCCTTGCAATTCTGCCTCTAAGAATTTTGCCTTAAGGAAATAATCCAAGATACAGAAAAAGTCCTACATATAAATGCTGCCCAGTAGAGCATTTAAGAAAATTGGAAACTATCTAAAAATAGGGGAACTATTATGATATTAAATTGAAAAACTATTGGGGGCAGTACTAGGGTTTGAACTCAGGGCCTCACACTTGCTAGGCTGTTGCTCTACCACTTGAGCCACTTCACCAGTGACAGGGTCTTAGGAACAACTTGCCTGGGCTGGCTTCAAACCTCATTCCTTCTGATCTCTGCCTCCTGAGTAGCTAGGATTGTAGGTGTGAGCCACCAGCACCTGGCGAAATTATTAATGTATAAATTTGCAATCACACAGAGAATTCTTGTGATGTTAAAGGATAAACAGAATTCTAAATTGTAAGTAGAACAAATGGTAATATTTTTTAACCATGCACTGGAATCTAAGTGTTTCTGGGTGACAGGGTGATTTTTTTCTTTTTTTTTTCTTTCTCAATGGTGAATATTTCTATAATGAATGCTTTATCTTTATGGCCCAAAAAATGGTATTTCAGAAATATTTTCTTTACCTTTCCTGAAACTCTGATTTCTTAATCAAGTATCTTTTATGCTGATGCCACAAACACAATAGAATTATTACTGGTTTACTTAAGACCTCTGAATCTTATTACTGAAAATATTCTACAGGAAACATTGAGAATATTTTATAAATGTTCCATTATAAAAACATATTTTAAAACATGTACTTACATAGCCTTTCATGATGATAAAGTTCTATCTGTATTATACATACTACCTTATTAATACTTAATAGTGTTTTGAAGGAGCTACAAACTTTACAGTAATAATGAAATCATACCTCAGGAAAAGCATATCATCTGAAAATAAGCCATTTATGACTCCACTTTCTTTCTCAAGGGCCAACATACTAATGTGAAGCTTCTTTGAATTCAAGAAGTCCAAAATTAGCTTAATGATTTCAACCTCTTTCACGTTCACTGTTTCTTCAGCCGTCATGTTGAGAACCTAAATATTAAACAAAACAACAAAGTTAGTCCTATTGCTTTATGGCTAAGTTTAACTACCTAGAAATGATAGAGTTTTCTTAGGAATTTTTTTGGTTTAGGAATTTTGCAGTGAAATTAACTTATGAAAATGAGGTCACACTTGCCTAGCATGGGTAAGGCCCTGGATTCAGTCCCCAATATCTTGAGAAAAAAACCAAACTGTAGATGTAATGGCAGAAATTAATGTAATGGAGACTAAAAGAACCATACAAAGAATCAATGAAAACAAAAAGTTGGGGTTCTTTGAAAAGATAAATAAAATTGACAAACTCCTAGCCAAAGTAACCAAAAGAAAGAATAGAAGGCCCAAAATAATAGAAATAGAGAAGAGAAATGGGATACAACAAATACCAATGAAATTCAGATCATAGGGAGTGCTTCAAAAATCCTACATTCAAAAGCTAAAAGAAATTGATAAATTTCTATGTGCATATGACCCACCAAAATTGAGCCAAGAGGATATATAAACCACCTAAATAGATCTAAAACAAGCAATGAAATTAAACCACAGCAGAGTCTCCCAAAAAAGAAAAGCCCCACATTGGACAGATTGAACATACACAAATCAATAAACACAAGACAGCACATAAGCAGAATCACCTCAATAGATGCAGAGAAAACTTTTGACAAAATTCAGCATCCCTTCAACGATAAAAGCCCCAGGTGGGCGTCAGTGGCTCACACCTGTAATCCTAGCTACTCAGGAGGCAAAGATCAGGAGGATCATGGTTTGAAGCTAGTGTGGGCAAAATACAAATATATATGTATATATATACACATATGTAGATACATATATATATACACACATATATATATGGCTGGTGGAGTGGCAAGATGAAACCCTAGTACCACAAAAACAAAAAAAAGTCTTGAAGCAACCAGAAATACAAGGAATGTACCTCAACATAATAAAGGCTATCTATGATAAACCTATAGCCAATATTATCCTAAATGGAGAAAAACTGAAACCATTTCCTCTAAAGTCAAGAGTCAATATAGTGCTAAATTACTTAGCCAGAGCAATAAGGAAAGAGAAAGAAATAAAAGGGATACAAATAGGAAAGGAAGAAGTCAAATTATCATCCCGATTTGCAGAGGATATGACCCTATACTTAAAAGACCCTAAAGACTCTGCCAAAAAACTCAGCTCTGATAAATACTTTCAGCAAGGTAGTAGGATACAAAATCACCATAAAAATCAGTAGCTTGTCTATACACAAATAATGAACAGGCTGAGAAAGAAATCAGGGGAAAAGTCCCATTAACAATAGCCTCAAAAAATTAAATACCTAGGAATAAACATAACTAAGGAGGTAAAAGACCTCCTTATGAAAACTATAAACATTAGAACTTGAAGAAGAAAGTAGAAGAACGAAAGCTCTCCCATATTCATGGACTAGCAGAATTAATACTGTGAAAATAGCTATTCTATCAAAAGCAGTCCCCAGATTTAATGCAATCCCCATCAAAATTCCAACGTCAGGCTAGTGGAGTGGCTCAAGTGATCTAGTGCCTGCCTAGCAAGGATGAGGTACTGAATTCAAGCCCTGCAAAAAACAAAACAAAACAAAAAAAAACACCAATGTCATTTTTCACAAAAATAGAAAACTCAATCCTAAAACTCATTTGGAAACACAAAAGACTATAAATACTAAAGCAATCTTGAGCAAAAAGAGAGATGCTGGAGGTATATCACAATACCTGACTTCAATTTACATCACAGAGCCACAGTAACAAAAACAGCATGCTACTGGCACAAAAACATACACATAGATCAATGGAATAGAAGATCAAGAAATAAGCCCACACAGCTACAGCCATATGATTTTTGACAAAGGCACCAAAAAAATATGCTGGAGAAAAGACAGTCTCTTCAACAAATGATTCTAGAAAAACTGGATATCCACAGGTAGAAGACTGAAACTAGACCCTCTCTCACCCTGTAAAAAAAAAATTAATTCAAAATGGACCAAAGATCTTAATATCTCAAAGTCTGAAACTGCTAGAAGAAAACATAGGGAAAGCCCTTGAAGATATGGGCATAGGTAATAGAATAGGTTCTGAATAGAATCCCTGTTGTTCAGGAAAGAAGAACAAAACTGACAAATGAGATTGCATCAAATTGAAAAGCTAAGGCACAGCAAAGGAAACAATTACCAGAATCCACAGACAACCTACAGAATGGAAGAAAATCTTTACCAGCTACTCATCAGTTAAAGGATTAATATCTAATCCTTTGGAGCTCTAAAACTTAATCACCAAAAGAACAAAACAATCCAAATAATAAGTAGGTAAATAAATTGAACAGTTATCAAAAGAAGTACAAAATGCTAATAAATACATAGGAAAGTGTTCAATATTCTTAGCCATAAAGGAAACGCAAATCAGAACAACTTTGAGATTCCATCTCACACCAATCAGAATGGCTATCATCAAGAAAACAACACAACAAGTGCTGGCAAAGATGGAGGGGTGAAGGGACCCTTACATACTGTTGGTAGGAATGTAAATTAGTGCAGCCACTATGGAAATTAGTATACAGTTCCTTAAAAAACAGAACTACCACAGGATCCTGCTATACCAGTCCTGGGCATGTATCTGAAGGAATGTAAGTGTGCATACAATCCAGATACCTCACACTCATGTGTACAGCAGCATTATTCGCAGTAACCAAGCTATGGAATCAGCCCAGGTATCCATCACCTGATGAATGGATAAAGAAAATGTGGTATGTATAAACAATAGACTATTATTTAGCCATAAAGAAGAATGAAACAATGTCATTTGCAGGAAAATGAATTAAGTGAAATAAACTACACCAAGAAAAACAAGTATCACATGTTCTCTCTCATATGCAGAATTTGGTCTTTGAAAAATGAATTTCTTTATAGTAAGAAGTGTAAACATATCCAGCCAGAATGTCCTTGTCAGCAGATGAGTGCATTCTTAAGTAGAGAAGGTGCTAGGGTAAACAAGACAGAACATGGTAAGATACTTATGCAACTTGCATATTTAATGACATCAGCGTAAACTAATCCCTTTCCACAATAAGGAAACGCCTACCTCAGGAAACAGATAAACCACAAACCTCTCTCCCAATAGGCCAGATGCCCAATTCCTCAAGCTTTGGGGCTCCTCTTGTTCATAGACTTTGTCCAAAAGAAGACACAAGAAAATTAATGAGTCTCACCACAAAAATCTGATCACATTTCACAACTATCTCCCTGGAGCACACTGATTAGCAATTTTAGCATTCCCTAAGTCTTCAGATAATTCTTTTTATTTTATTTATTTATTTATTTTTTGGTGGTACTGGGAATTGGGCCCAAGCCCTTGAACATGTCAGGTGAGCATTCTATCCCACTTGAGTCACACCCCTAGCCCTTTTTTGTTTTGGTTTTGAGATAAGGTTTCCCTTAACTTTGCCTGGGCTGTCCTCAATCTCTCAAGTAGCTGCCTTTGCCTCCCAAGTAACTGAGATTACAGGCATGATAGTTACAGATAATTCTTACTAGCAAAAGAATGACTTATACTAATTTAACTCTCAAAACAAAATATTACTCTCTTCTAATTAGAAGATCTAGAGGACACTTCACCCACGCCACCATGTACAAACCATAACAACTTAGTGAGAACTGACGCCACAACATTCTACAGACCTCTCATTCAACACTCAGTCTAAATAGTAAGTAACTCTTAAGTGAAATTTATGGTAACAGTGCTACTTTAACTCATAACCAGAAGTTCAGGGACTTGCTATGTATCCTGCTGGCCTCAAAGGAGCCTCCTGCCTCAGCCTCTCCACTAGCTGGGACTACAGGCATGTATCACCGTGCCCTACCTACAAGTTTAATGCTGCAACCATTTTAGCCAATAAAGCCTAAGAAGAAATACAATGTAGCAGGATGCCAATGGTCACACCTATATAATCCTAGCTACTCAAGAGGCAGAGATCAGGAGGACTGCTGTTGGATGCCAACCCAGGCAAATAGTCCATGAGACCCTATCTTGAAAAAACCCATCACAAAAGAAAAAGGACTGATGGAATGGCTCAAGGTGTAGGACCTGAGTTCAAGCCCCAGAACCGCCAAAATAATTATATATTTATTTGTGTGTGTGTATATATACATATATATATGTTGTACACTAACATTTGAATAGATAATAGAAAATGTAGTCTGATTAACCTAGATTTGGCTCAAGCTTTAAAAAAAAACTAATTAAAAAAAGACAAGTTTTAATTCTATACTGTGAAATTCCCAATGGGAAAGTATTGTATTTTAATCACTTAACTCAGAAATTATATTCTTAAAAGCCTGTTGTTTTTGCATACAATTAAACGTCTGTATATGCCTGAGGACTGTTTCTCTTTTCTAACCCCATTGCTGAAACATTTGTAGAGGGTCCCAAAACTCTAGCTAAATATCTTAAACACAAAAACATATAATTCATGAATTCCTCAAACTGTTGACCACTACACAAAGCTAGAATTTTTCTCTAATTCAGATGAGCAGAATTCAATGATAAATGCTTCTTTTTCTCCTTAAAAGTAAAAGCTATATAAATCTAGAATATTTTAACTACTTTAGGAACTACTAAGCCTACCTAGTCTAGTCTTGAACGCCTAGGCTCAAGTGATCTACCTCAGTCTCTTAAGTAGCTGGGACTATGGATATGTGTCACCACTGCTGGCTCTAAAATTATCTTTTAAAATGAAATGCACATCCATAAAACATAATAAACAAAATATTACATGTTAAACTAATGCTACTTGAATTAGCTTGAGAAGCAAAAACCTCTGAAGAACTATTTCTATAATAGTCTAAAATAGATCATCCTTGTTTTCCACTGCTCTAAAGGCTTTCAAAAGGATAAAGCTCTGGCCCACTGACCCAACTGCTTAGCCTAAACCAAGTCTGAAAGCATCTTAGGTAGACCTGCCAGCCCAAGGTACCTGGG